ACCGCCTGCCATTAAATAGTTGTTATTCACGTGTTGCGTTATGTAACATATTTCTTTATATTCTCTGTATTGAAAGAATTTGTTTTTTGTTGTTGGTATTTGGATCTGTTTGTATTCTATACTATGTTATTGCAGCAGGTATTCGTGAAGACGAACGTTTCTGATAAAATATTTAATTTATTATTGCAGGAGAGTATTTTATTTCATATTCTTAAGCGGTGTGCGTGGAAAATTTTTGGAAAACCATTTTTTGTGGTTTTGTCCCAAATCTATTCCTTTGAGTAACGTTTCCCCCTTGTGATACCAAATTGATGCAAAGTGCTCTATTGCTCTAAAATCTTTGTTTGCTCTAAAGCTCTCCAAGCCGAATTAACATCAATAATATCTCTTGCTGCTATTTCTTCCTTCAATGTTAATTATCTACATGCTGCGCCAATCAGTGTCTTCTTAGAATCCGTTGGAAATATGTTTTAAATTATCTGTGGAAATATTAATTAATTAATTAAATTAATACAATACTGAGAAAAAGTTCTGTAGACTCCCAATTGTGCCTTTGAAACAAACCGACAACGTTAGCACATTTTTCCCAACCATCTCATTTACCTTCTTTCTATAATGAAAAGTTCTGCCTCATATGATGATCCTATATGATTTCCATCGTATAATAATGTTTCTTATTCATACTCGAACTGATTTATGGCCCAATAGCCCAAATGTCACCAGGTTCGGGATCATTTATTTGTGAATAAATAAATGAATGATTAAATGAATGAATGACTACATGGATGAATGAATTACTAAATAAATGAATAAATGAATCAATCGATTAAAAATCAATAGTCTTTATTGGTGGATAAGATCAAGCCATTTAGCCTGCTCTTTCACCTGATCACTTTCAAAAATATTTTAATACAATAGTTCATGAAAAGAAGTTCATTAAAAGAGAAATACGTACGCAATTTGGGTGAGGGGTTTCTCAAATTAAACATAGGAATGAAAACGAGGATACTCTCATTTGTGAGATGAAATTTATTCATTTCACGTTAGGGATGTATTAAAATTATTCATAAATATATAAAATTCAACGCTAAGAGATATTACTCAAATTTAAGGAAATTATATTTTGTGACTCAGAAAGATAGGTACAGAAGAGGATTGGAAGGAGCTTGTTGAGGAAGTCAGTGAAAGGTTAATAAGTACTAGTAATTATTTCAAAGAGGTTTTGAAGGAGCTAAGATTGCGTACATATTTTTGAATAACCCCTAATAAAGTCTAGAAAGGGAGGGAATATCGTGTGCATACGAGCGAAAACACATCGAGTCAGAGTTCAAGCCTTGAGAGAAGTGAAAACATTGGAAAATAATGTATTTTGTAATGATAATACTTATATTTCGTAAAAACAATAACAGTATTAGTAATATAAGAATGAATTATAAAACTATTTGGTTATTAAGTAAAAAAATAATTAAAGATGTGGATACCATCAATTCAATTTTAGGAAAGGTTTTCAATTTAAACCCTGAACTAGAAAAGTAGAAATTAAGAAAATTTAGGAACTGTTCCCTAATTAGAATATTTCCAAGACTTGAAAACCCGGCCCAACATCTACCACCCGTAACGATGTAAACTACATTTATCTATTATTAATTTGTTTTTATAATCCAGTACCCGATTCAATGTCAATTCACTATTCCCGAAGACAATGATTTCTTGCTACCTTGATTTCTTTCATCGTGATCAACCGTTTCTTTTATTACTGTTCAACATAATTTTTGTCTCACAAATACCAATTAATTCAGTTTTTATCTGGTTTTCAAAATTGTATTCAAAATGTCTCCGTCACCCATAGATGTTTTATTAATTTTTTTAATATTTTCATTTATTTTAGCATGTCGTTTGTTGCAAAATATCTATATTTTGTTTGAATCATCCAAATAATATTAGTTATGTAAGTAATGATGTGGTCACAGATTCCTCTAAGGGTAGTTTAAAAGCCGTACTTCTGCATAATGGCAATAAACACCTGTCACCACCTGTGGCGCACATTCTAGTGTGAAAGAAACATGAATACTTTACATTTATATTGGAAATTCTTCAATGTGCATTGTGTAAATGGAATATTTGTGGTCTTGTTAGCAAGCGGGTCTGTAACTTGATTAAACAAACTACTGTTGAATTTTGTGTGAATAAGACAACAGGAAAAGAAAAAAACATTACATTGCCAAAGAACCAAAGAATTGCCTAAACGCGAATCATTCATTCCTGAACAGACAATGTGAAACATGACACCTTATGTAATTCTTAGAAGCTGTCTCCGTTACATATAAAACTAGGATTAATGAAGAACTTCGACAAAACCATGGATAATACACATAGTTTGTGTACTTAAAACAGAAGTTTCGTAAAATTAGTGCTGCAAAATTTAAAGAAGAAATATTTGTGAATACACAAATATGATCATCAATGCAACATGAAAAATTCGAGTAACTATTATATTCACAGGAGAAAGCAGATTGGCAAGCATTAAAAAACGTCACAGGTTTTGAGGAATTTGAAAGACAGAAAATTACCGATATATTTACAACTCTCTTATATAACATCTTTTGAACATATAGATTATAATATGTCCTTAAAAGTTCAGTTCCTTCACGCGCACCTAGGTTCTTCCCAAAAAATCTGGACACAGTGAGTGATGAGTTAGGAGAACTCTTTAGTCAGGAGATTTCAAGTTCGGAAAAGATATAACAAACGGAATTCTTCAATTCCGGCTAATTATTCTTGGACCATTGAGAGGGATATTCCACAAGCTAAAAAGGTAGTAGAAAATCGTCATTTCTTACTTTGTATGTAAATCAGAATGTTGGAATATTGTACAGTTAAGAATGTAAAAAAATATATTTGAATTCAGGTGAAAAATACTATCAGAATCACAATTTTTTTCTTTCTGAGATAAAAAAGATTATTCTGTGATCCCTAGCGTTATTGATTCTTACATTTTCTTCAGAGAAAGAAAGTGGTGTGGATATGAAAACCCCATCGCCTCCCCCCTCGCCTCCTTACTCATACTCCTTACTTTTCCTTCTCACTGGTTCTAATGCGCACGTTCTGTGCAAATTCGCCACGCTACGTCCCGGCCGTGTCCTCCCCCTCCATCGTATGGCGTCCTTCCTCAACCAGATCCATCCAATAACATTCCATCTTCCAACTACATCAAGACCCTCTTCATTATCATTTCACTCTACCACCTTTCAGCCAATATCCGTTTCACCCAAGACTATTTCATACGAACATTGCGAGCTACTACCTTCGCCTCATTTACCTGAACTTCCTCTGTTCTCTTGAGCCTTCCTGTCAGCCAATTCTTCAACAAATGTGTTTTATTTTTTTACAATCTCGACGAATTATTATTATTATTATTATTATTATTATTATTATTACTATTATTATAATTATTACCATTATTATTCGTCATATTCAATACCTTTCCTTACTACTATCTAATTTTTACACTTAACATATCATTACACTTCTCTTTTTTCCTATTTTCCTTTTGCAGTTTGCAGTTGATTGTCGATATATTTTTTATTTAATTTTAGCATTCGGGGTACCCCTTACTTTATCGTTTCATGCTCTCATCAAATTATCCTTTTCTGTTTCATTCCTTTCGCCTTCATTAATGCATTAGAGTGGAAATTTCCTCCACCCTGCCATCACCCTTCGCATCTTCCGCATTATATTTCTTCGTTTGCTTCGTCGCTGCTCCCCCTCCACTTTTCGAGACATTTCCCCCCCGGCGCTGACGGCGCCCAACGCCGCCTTCTTCTCCGCCGCCCTCTCGCTGCCTGATTACATTGATTGTATAGTTAACGCATTCCGCTAGCGGGGCGCGACATTCGACACGGAGGCGATGGCGGAGGTGGATGGGAGGCGGCGGGGGCGTCGACAGTCAACACACTTAGCGACCGATTTCTTCCCTCCGCCCGCGACCCAGGGACCGAAGGGGTCGATAAATAAAACAAAGCAATCGGCACGCGTTGACGCTTGTTGTTCCGCGCCGGGCGGTGATACCCTGCTCGAACCATTGGACATTCCGGGCAGAGGGGGTCTGACAAGTGCTGCGTTGCAGATAAGCTTTGTTTTTCTCTTTAATGAATTGAAAACTCGAGAAAGGTCTTGAATGTCAATTTATATCAACTTTCCCTCCTGTTCGCAAACTCATTTCACTTTTTTGGTGTTTTCTGCAGTTATGACGAGAAGAAATTTTGCTAAATAAATAAGTAGTAGCTATTCATAAGTACCATTAAAACAATTTTAAATCATGATTTTTTTGGGTGATTCAATTAAATAGAATATGCATATAGTTTTTGAAATTCGGTCACAATAATTGTAAGTTAAAGGTATTTTTGCCAATTTAAAAACAATTCAGCTTTGATTTTTTGTTTCGAAAGTTTAAATGAAGAGGAAAGTTAACAAATTGTCGCGGAACTTGGTATGCCTTCGTGCGATACACGATTTTCTACATATCTTGAAATATAATCAAGTATGATTGTTTCAAAACAGCATATTCCAAAAATTAACGATAAATCCTTTTTTGGGAGCGATTTATAAAATAGTCTGTGAGTGTACTTATCATGCCTCCGCAAAAATACATATCTACATTATAACTAGGAGCAAAGACTGCAAAACTACTGCGAAATGAGAGCAGTCTTTTTTCCTTCCTTGTTTAACACAAACATATTATATTTTTAAGACTTTTAATCCACTACGCTTCAGAAATGTCATAGCAAATAATATATTCGAAGTAACCAAAGCATGAGAAAACAGCTTTAGAAAATTTCGACTTACGTAACATTTCTAGAACATAAACATTCTAACGTATTCTTCCAATGGAATCAGTAAGTTATAAATCTCCAAACAGATAAATGTGAAATGTTTCATGATTTGATTTCCTCCTTCAATCACAGACTGCGCGGGAAGAGACGGTTCCGGAAACGAAGTCCATGGACACGTAAGTGGGCCATAAATTCCCAGAAGAATGCCGCACGGAACATAAAGACGATGGGAAAATGTATATCAAGCATTTTTCGACGACAGTGACACATTTTACCGCATACCGATCTCCTCAGAAAGATAATTTGGGGAAGACTTTTGTATTCGAATTCCTTCCTTTCGGGGACGCAGTCTGCTCGGATATAGGACATAAAACCAACCCTTAATCTCGCAGCCGGCCTGCGGAATGCGAGCGCATTCCACGGCCTTCTAACCTGTGCGGCCTCACGCGAGCGCGGCGAGGCGAGGCGGGGCGGGGAAGAGGCGGGGAGCAGGGAGAGCGAGGGAGGGAGGGTGCTGCAGGGTGAGCAAGCTATACGTTTCGCTGGTTTCTCCTTAAGGCGGAAGGTGTTCTTTTCCGGATCCTCTACATTGTATTCTGATTATTCCCTTTTGCGTGAACTGTATTAATTGTTTATTATCTCTTATTTATAGTGCTGTGTTGCGGGCTGGAAGAAAGACGAGATCGGAGAATGTGCAGGGAGTTGCAAGGTGAGCAAACTTCATATTTCCCGTATGTTTTGGATATCTGCAAGAAAAAACCCTCCTATGTCCACATGTAGATCAGCCGAATCTGACGTTCAAGATGGGGGGACACCACCATTTCTCGATCGAATATTTTGCTTGCGGGACGAATGATTATAGTTTTTGACGTGCTCGTATACACTAAATAATTAATCAGTGAATTTCACCACTAGCAAGATGTGACTACACATTGTTAGTTTTCTTCACGAATTTTATATTGTGTTTTAAAATATTTATGCGCCAAGGGCATTATAAGGGTTTTAATGTTCGAAGGGCAAACAAAAACTCCAGGGCGCTTCCGCAAGGGAGTTTTGTCGCCCGAGATCATTAGAAGCATTTAACGAACGTGCTACATACAATATTTTATTTTTCTCCTGATTTTAATGATTCGTATTTATTTTTTTACTAATGAACTAGTTGTTAACTCGACTCCTTTTTGTCTTTTCATATTTCCCTTTCCATTTTCATATATATAATTCTCTGTTACAATTTCCTCCGTAAGTGAGCATGTAGCATCCTTCGACTGATCCATTTTTCACATATCTCTCGTAACCATGATCATCTCCATTCAGAGTGCAGTGTATATCGAGCTCCGTGTTGAGGACATTATCAGTAAAGAATGAAATATTTTGCGGGAACACTATCTCAACGTGTAAGTAGTGGTAATGGTTTTAAGACAATGTTACACAGCCCCAATGATCTTGGGCATTGAAGGCCCTTTAAAGCTTATTCATCATCACCATCCCGACGCCAACTCCGCGTGCGCGCGGCGCCGGGGCGGGCAGCGGTGGGGCGAGCAGCAGCTGCTCGGCCGCTCGCCCCCCGAGGGCGCCGGGGTCGCCCGGGGCGATGGGCGAGGGGCGAGGGCGCGCAGGCCCCGAGCACCCCCGCCGAAGGGGGCGGGCGGCCGATTTATGGGGCGGAGGCCGACCCGCAGGTGTGTGTAGCCTGGAATCGAACCCGGACTGGCGGCCGCGCGACATGCTGGCAATTACAGCGGGCTTGTCGGCGGTCGGCGAGCGGCCGGGCAGGCGGTGGCGGCGCGCAAGGAGTCGCCCACTCCCCCGACGACTCGACGGGCCACTCGCGCGACAATTGGACCGCGGTCCCGCCCGCTGCCCAACTGTTGGCAGGCGCGTGCGCCGTTGATCTCGCCTGTTTGTGTGCTAGCCTTTCTGGCGCAATTTTACGTTCCTGTGGATTAAAACGTTATAATAATAATAATAATAATAATAATAATAATAATAATAATAATAACAATGCGAAGAATTGGAGAAAGTCTCACTTGACTAGTTCATTGCAATTTATCAAACATTTTCTGAGTATTTTACATGTTTCTTATAGTGAGCTTTGAAGTTACTGCAAAAGTTAAGTTCTCATCGCTTCAAAAGAAAAACTAAACAAAACGCACTAGCAGTTGAAATATCTAAAATTATTCAAAAGAATTCAATTGAATCGTACCGTATAAATGTCTATACAAGTATGTAACTACTGGTAAAATGTCGTTTGATATCTGCAACTGGCAGAACGACGTCTCATCCCACCTCTGCATCTCAACGGCAGCCACACACACCTATTTGCATTTCAGGTTGACTCGAAAATTAAGTGCGATGTGTGATCTCTCTCAATAGTTTTGAATAATGTGTGAATTTTTTAAACTATATTGACTAAATACACGTATTTCAGTTGACAGTAACTGTGTATTTCGTATGTATTAACGACGCGTAACATGCAAAGACAAGAGGAGCTAGGTTAGAGTCAGCGATGGTAAAGAATTCTCAATACAAGAATAGAGAGATCGAAGTCGTCTAGGTGAAAAATGTTGGTACCAATTGCTCTGAAGGGTCGCCTCCGAAATTTGTTCCCATTATTTTCAGATAGGTGCCAAAATAATGCCTTAAACTGCGGGTTACGAACTGCGCGGAATGCATTCCCAAAAATACGGCGAATAACTGATCTCCATCCCCGTTTGATACATTCATCACAACCCGGAGAGAGTTTGGTTATACTGTTCATACGCGTGTACGGCGAGAGGTCGAATAGTATTAACTTAGCAGAATTAAAGCAATGTCTCCAGGAGAGTTCTAGCTGCCGACTCCTCTTGGTAGTTTTCCGTGGTTTCACCGGTCTGTTGACCCAAGCGAAGGCCAGAGCAATACCGCAACAACCGAGTCGCGGAGAGAGTGCAGTCATTCCTTTCTCGTCCTCCTTCTTCCCCTTCACCTCACTTTACGCAATACGCTACTAGTCATATTGGAAGATTAGAACTTGGCTGGGGACGTACACCTTTGGAGGAGATACTTGGAGAAGAAAATTTCGCATGGCATCGTACGGGATGGCACTGTATCTCACGTTCCAGTGGGAGAGAAACACCGCCGCCTCCAAAGACATACATTGCACTACACTTACGGACCTCAATAGTTGACGCGCTCGGGTCAAATTCTCACTCTGAACTGTAGTGTTTTAATATTTATTTTTTATGTTGTCATCCCTTCAGAAGCATAACTATACCAAACACATTAACGGTTGTAATAAAAAAATGTATTCAAAATAATTCTATTGAATCGTGCAGTATAAATGCCTATACAAATAACTGCTGGGAAAATGTCGTCTGATATCCTCAACTGTCAGAAAAACGACTCCTCAAATATTCTCTCAATGTTCTCTTTTTGTACCTTCATTTTAATATAAATATAGGATAACCTTAGAAAAGAAAGGTTACACGACGCGTTGCTCTCATACGGAATTGTATTTCTTTGCTGTGTAGGGATTCCACTGCTGTGTAGGGAAAAGATTGCTGAAGCGAGCGAGGGGTCACGGACATTAATAGAGTTCCGACCTTCGTTGGGGTGACAGTTTAAGAGGTGACAAAATGGTAGACAGGATTGACAAAACACGTTCAGGAAAATGGCGATTATGTTAAAAAATTATGTAATGTACTACTTTCCCTGTAAGTTAATTTAAATATATGCTATTATGTGTGTGAAAAAATAATGTAACCTTACTTTCCGGAGATCCCTCATAGTTCGCAATTCTTCTGCACTAGAGAAAAATCTTCGGTAATTACTTACTACCTGAATGAAGCGAAAACCAAGTTTGATGGAAGTTTGCGGTGTAAACCTGGCGTAATAGACGTTCGCCCCCGCGGGTGTCGCATTGAATCTCGAAGCCCCACCCGTGGCGCCCTCATTCCGGGCGCGGGCAACTGGAAACCTTAAATAACTCGAGAGCAGGTGTCGCGAGTGAGAAATGAGTTGTGTAATGGGAACTGACCTACCAACCGCCCTCGCACCGGGCAACACGTTTGCGAGTCGGGGCAACATGTGATTGAATAACGTGAGCAGAGCGCCACACGTTCATTAGTGGCTTGTCCTTCAGGCTTGTGTCTTTTATTGACTCACTGTTGTGGCTTCCTTTTACAGTTTTGTTTACTTTGTAATTTGTTTTTATTTTATGGAGTTACACAAATTACGATATTTTTTTGTGAATTTAAAACACAATTCTGAAATACATTGTAGATGTCTTTGTTTTCGTATAAAATAGCCTGTTTTGTTGGTTTATAACGAAGTGTTTAATTTTATAAAGTAAGTTTATCTAAAGGGAATTTCTAAAATGTGAAATATAGAACCCATATTTTCGAAAAACAATATAACCCCTTTTTTGTATCAGAATATATTTTTAACATGCCTTCAGAAAATATTCAATAAAAAACGACATTTACATAATTCTGAAGTGGTTTCCTTGATACGTGTAGCAAAATCTTTATGGAACAATTTCGAACACCGAGAAAATGCACATGTGATAAAAAAATCCTTAGAATTTTTAAATTTTTTGTTTGGTGGATTGCATGTTTTATCGGTGGTGGTGGTGGTCATTCCCTTCTGGCTGATGAGATCCGATTCCGACCTACCATCGACTAACGGGTAACTATCATCAGGGCAGCGGGGCCCCGCCCCAGCCAGGACAAACTCTGAGCTCCCGACCGCTCTCCCGGTATGAATGGTGGTGTAGTGCTTGTAAGTGTAAGAATGTGAAAATCAGGGGATTGTTAGCACAAGGACGAAAAAGGAAAGCGTCGTTGCACGGTCCGTGACCCGTTTGTTAGGGTACTGATCCAGCATTTGTCTGGTATTGATCGGAGAAACCACGGGAAACTGAGAGAAAAGCCGGTCACAAGGATTATCCTCCAGTCAGCAACAAAATTCGACTTTGCTATCTTTCTAGTGTCGAAAATCTTGCCACCGACGGGACTTGAACCTAGTACCTCCCTGTCAAGGGCACTGCAGTGACATCAGTTAATGTCCTGAACCTTATTATAATTACGATAATTATTATCATCTATATTGCAGATCTCGTTTTCTGTATTTTTATTGCATTATTATTGATTCACATTTCATAAATTAATTGTATTTCTTTCATCCCATGTGCCAAGCCCTAAACCGTTATCGTGATTTATTTTATCCTCAATAGTTTGATGTGAATTCCGGGAAAGTTCATGGTTTATGTTCCCATAAATAAACATTACTAATATTACTATTACCATCATCTCCTCAATTATAAAGCAATAGAATTGAACATTGTAGAATCACAACCATTGATGAATAATAAAATAAAATTGGTTCACGGGATCGGTCATTGTGGGTAAAGCAACAATTAGTTTTGCCAACGTTTCGAAATATTTCATTTTTTCATCAGCGCTAGCGTATAAAAACAACTGAACAGTGCATGACAGCAACAGACATTTAAATAAATTAATTCATTTATTAATTAACACTACACAAACAAACAAAATTATAAACTAAGACGGATTAAAACTCTCCAAAATATATAAAGTACACATCTCACTAATTATCATAAAAATAAAGCCTCATTTCAAGCGACCACACCGAATTAATATGGAGTTGAAGAAAGTGGGTCCATCGCACGTCAAGTGTAAATCGGGCCAAGGTTCTAAACGCAAATGAAAGAAGACTGGTTCCATTGAATGAACCACGCGCACAGCCACTCGATGCCCCGCCATCACGTGTTTCCAGTCAAGTTCATATTAAATTAACAATATAACCTCATAACATTCTGAGGAACGTTTATGCAAATATATCAAAACTAAACCAAATTTTTTATTATTATATTGTTATTATTATTTATCAAGGTTAAGAGAGAAAAAATGAATATGATATACCGTGACACACTTCCGGTCATTTTATTACTTATTTAAAAATAAATAAAATACAAGTATATAAAACACGTGTATACATACTTTTACACACACATACACATGAACTTACTCATAAACATATACACACATACACAAACATATACACACACATACACATAAACATATGCATTTGCATATAGTTTAGAATTTGACCGGAAACACAAAGTGGCGGGGCATGGAGTAGCTGTAGCACGTGGCTCATTCACTTGAACCAGTCTTTATTTATTTGCGGTTAGGCACTTGGCCCGATTTACACTTGACTTGCGATGAACCCATGTGCTTCAACTCCATGTGTAATTGGGTGTGGTGGTTTGAAATGAGACTTTATCTTTATGATTATTAGTAAGGTGTGTACTTTCTATATTTTGGGGTTTTACTTGTCTTAGTTTATAATGGTTTTGTTCTTGTTTGTGTAGTGTTAATTAGTTAATGAATCAATCTATTGAAATGTTTGTTGTCCTCATGCACTGTTCATTTGTTTTTATACTCTAGCCCTGATGAAGAAATTAAATATTTAGGAACGTTGTCACAACTAACTGTTTCTTTGCCCACAATGACCGATCCCGTGAACCAATTTCATTTTATTTGATAGAATTGAAGTTATTTTCAGCTCTGTAATTAGTAGTCTCCGCCGCTTCGACCAAATTGCCGTAGGTCCGTGTGCGTCGGACGTCCCTTCCCTGGGATAAAATGCGGGTGAGATCGTCTCGTAACGTTGGCGCTCCTGCGAGGGGTGATTTGGCGCGGACGTTTTATTCCAGCAGCTCTTAGGAGTTTGATTCCCTGAGACGCCACTCGAACGCCGCGATCTACCGCTCCAGACGACCGAATCAGACGCTCCGCGCGCGGATATCGAACGGGGCAGACTTCGCCACCTACAGGGCGTTGGCGAAATGCGCTTTCTGACGCACTTCGTCTTCAATATTAATAACACGTTAAGTGTGGCGTCTCTGACAGTTTTATAACTAGTTTCATATTGAAACCCATTTAGGTATTGTGGTGAGTTTTCGTTGACATTTCCAATGAAATAATTATATGCATCGTCATTGCCAACAATATTATTTATTAAAATAGCAGCTTTCAATGGCTTAGCCATCATCATCAGTTTTCTGCTCTATGGAAGCCACAAAAACGACTACATGTACCAAAAACTACCGTAGTTGTTTTTGTGACTTCCATACAGCAGAAAACTGATGATGATGATGATGATGATGATGATGGCTAAGCCATCGAAAGCTGCTATTTTAATAAATAATATTGTTGGCAATGACGACGATATTACGACGAATTTTACGACGATATAACGACGATATATCCGACGAATAATTATTTCATTGGAACCAATTATTTTAGATGTGTTGAACCATCCTGAGACGCAGTTCAAACAGAATAGGCTGAGCATGAGCGTGATCTTCGCATCGACAGTTGACCCCACGCAACATTGGGTTACGTCAGCGAATTGACTATTGTACTACGCTGCTTGTCAGAGTTTCAAATAAATCTGTGGTGTGTTATTGTTGTTTGGTTGTGAATACACCACCTGAAACATTTGTCATGTGAGCTAAATTTTAGTTTTGTATCCCTGCATCCTCCAAAGTATGACAAATAAATGCATTTGTGGCAAAGAATGGCCAAGATACCACCTTTTACTAAAAATACGTAAATGTGACTTAATATGCACAATACAAATACATTTTCTTTACTGCAATTACTGAATTCGTGGTTAACTTGTAAAATTCATCGAATGGTTCAGAAGAAATATGACTTCTCATTAAAATCCGGACTCTACTAACGACATCTTTCTTGTACGAAACGGTGAACTAGAAGGGGTGTAACCAGGAGTGATGTGTGTATTTATCTACAAATAGCATCTTAAAGCAATGTACCATCTTCTAACTGATTATGCCTATGCCTATGCCGAACGCTTCACAGAACGGACCATATTTTCTGAAGCATCCTGTAAATACTCGCGTTGACGTCATTCAGACGGTGTGTGCGCCTCTTAAACGATACATTTAGATCTCCTTCAACGGGCCCCTAATTTCCCAACTGCAGCACTTTTTATATTGCCCTCGCTTCCAGCACTGCACAAAACTACACTTGAGAAGGGAATAAAGATAAAAATCGCTCGACTTTGCGAAATTGAATCTCCATTTTAATGTTAAGGAACACGGACGTCTTCCCGGGCTAGCTTTATGGGCTGACATCGCATTGCAGCTGTATTAATGTCTTCCTTTTATAGCGCTTGTAATGAGGGTAATAAGAGAATGAAGAAGGGTGGGGTAGCCACAAACGAGGGACGAGGTTCTTTCCCCAAAAGTACTCGATACCTTCTGGGTTATTTCTGAGGGTTTCCGATCTATAAAAAGTGGTTAAGACAAACGGTACCCCCATATTAGCCCAGAATATAAAAGGAGAAAATATAGAAGATGTCATAAAGCATTTACTTTAAAGTTAAAACGTTTTCTTACAAAGTGTTAGCAATATTGGTAATATACTTGAAGTATTTCCATTAAGTAAAAAAAAAACAAATATTGATCAATTTAATAGTCAATCAATTAACTTAAAGAATATACGTATAGTGGATTTTAAAAATATGATTGTTGGCATTTATATTCAGATTGTTATTATTCAGATCATAATTATGAATGGTAGTATTTATTTTAGCTTGCGCAAATACATGTCAACTCTTCTAACAATAGAATGTTTGCTATGTCAACCAAAATTTCTTTACAATGTTTGAAATCATTATTGTGCGGTAAGTTCAACGGCTTGTAAATTGCAAATATGTCGCTTTCTTTAGCAACTTGATTTTGTCAAACATTTATTCTGCTTCTGTGACATAACTGGCGAATGCAGCTGTCGGCCGCTATAGATGTAACTAAAACACGCAGTGGTAGTTATCGACAACAACAAAAATGTTCAAAATAAAATCATTTTAGGCAGTATTTAAAATCAATAGAACATATTTCCAGAATTCAGGACTTCTGAATTCAGGATGTTCGGAGGATGAAGCCCTATCTAATATGGTTTCCGCATAAAATTGCCGACGAATAGTTTTCAATTTCGCATAACTACAACGAGTATTGCGTTAAAAATTGTCGTTATTACCCTATTAATAGGTGATAATCCAGTCGTCATATTTGAAATTACAATTAGGAAAGCAATACAATTATCTATGCGATATTTGAAAATGAAACGAATTATATTTCGGGATCCTGTACCATGTTATTAAAATTACTCGATAATGTAAACTTAGTGACCAGCTCTCGGATTTGCAATTGCGTATTAATTAGGCATTGAATATAGTTAGAACTTCATGGCTTAACCCTACTACACATTTCGTTTCATCTCTTGTACGACAATTTATATCTATTAGATACTTTTTCCGCATTTTTGGGACTGACAAGAGTTCAGTACCGAAGTTACATCTCTCGAATAAAATTAAGTAATTCACAGGCCCAGGAACATATTTTGTTGTCTATATTAATCGTCAAATAAATCTAATGTTGATGCTAGGGTGACTATAGAATGGGTAATGTGTCTCGTGTGTGTTTACGTGACAGTGTAGTTCATATTCATGTTAAGAAGTCCAAAGAATTAGCATGCACGTCATTAGTCAGATCGTTACTAGAAGACGCCGCGAGCTGTTGGAACCCATATAGAACTTTGGAAATGCAGACTATTGAATTCGTTCAGAACCGTGCGGAGAAGTTCGTTGTAAGTAAAATAAAAATAAAAAATTGAACATTAAATCTATTCTCAGTTGGGAAACAGGCAAGACGAAGAAAGCTGACATAACTGGTAATGCATAGAGCGTATTAGGGAAAATTAAAACTTGGGAATAAATTCGAGGCAGGCTAGAAAAGACATAGGCAAAAATTACCACCAGTAATTTGTAAAAATATAAAATTATATGTATAAAAAGCAAGGAAAATATGTAGGGATATTTTTATTGTTTTTTTATTTCTTGTTCGGCAAAGGAACTTTTAAGAGTTTCAATACATTTTTATTAATATTAACAATAAGGATTTGACGCAATCATTAATTGCTAACTCATTTACATTATCACTAATATTGGCAATCTATAAAAGTGGTTTAATTTTAAAGAATTGTGATTTTGATAATATTTTTTTTCTGGGTATCGATAACAATACTACTAGTAATTAACGGGGACACAAATAATCTTAGGAAATTTGGATTTGACTCTGACTCTGATCACAACTTCACGAATTAATTTCGACTAATTTTTCGTGTTAGTTTTCATGCGTGAACAGGACGACACGAGATTGGAATATCTTGCCTTCAGTGCTGTTTCAATATTCTTCGTTTATTAATTTTTCTGAAAAAATTTGTTAGTGGTTGCTTGGAAGTGATATTGTTTAAAAAGTAATATTCAAAATGTAAATAAATAATATTGTCACCTTTAGCAATATTGTACACGATACTATCATGCGTTTTGGCAGAAGAAAAGTATTAGTATCTATTATACGAGTATATTATTCCGTATTATTTGTGATATAGGTATTTAATTGTACTATAAACTTTCACCGTTTCTTTCATTGTAACAAACTTTGGAGTTCTTATTATTTTCTGCTCAATCATGAATAAATTCATTCAAGTCTTTTTCCTGTAGTATTTATGCACCCTTTAAAAGACAATAATTTTCATTTCAAAGATACATATTTTCGATTCAAGCGTATCCGTTTAGAGATCGGTTCCCGTAAATGCATTTCAGGAGGAGTCTACAATTTTTCTTTTGTGTTTTTAAATTTATTTATTGTTTATGTGTGCCTAGTTCTGTGCAAAAACATGAATGTTTTTTCCCCACGCCGAGATTCGAGCTCTTTCGATTTATTTATTTATTTTATTTAATAGGTAATTATTACAAACGAATTAGATTACTTGATCCTATGTGGCCTAGGCCGAAGGCCTTTAAGCCATTACAATACCTACATCCTTTCGCGTTCTAATCTTTCGAATTCTGGTATTCACCCCAAATGGTCTCTCCATCGCATCAGAGCTGAATCTTTCGATTTAACATGTCAGACGGGTTACCGCTACCCCACCAGTTCCATCAGAGTCTACTGCAGAGTAGAACTGCGTGCTGCAGGGTCCGCAGGATTCGAAGGTGGCATTGACGGCGTCGGACGCCGGAGCGGCTAGCAGGCGGTAGCGGGACGGAGGGCCTGTGGCGGGCGCGGGAAGTGTGGGGCGGAGGGCGGAGGCGGGAGGAGCGGAAGCGGGCTCTCGTGGCGAAGAGAGCCGCGCGCCGGCCCGCCCGCACGCACTACGTCTTGCGCTGACGGACCTGCAGCTCAGTCGACGCGACAGCGCGGGGGCGCGGCGAAGGCGGGGCGGGGAGCTCTGGCAGCTTATCTTTAAGTTTTGCCAACATTCAGCAGCACTTTCATTTATCTTGCTCACGCCTGACCTGCTGCCACTCGCCGCCGCCCCGCTCTCCCTCGCCTCGCCTCGCCTTCGCCCCGATCCCTCCCTCCTCTCCCTCTCCGCCCGCCCCGATTCGCCCCGCCTCGTCCCGCTACGCTTGCCTCCGATACGGCGGCCGCGCCGAGCAGCCTCGCGGGTCTTCGCAGACGGCCGTTTCCGCTCCCGCCCCGCCCACTGAACGCCTTTTCTAACCCTCATCCCCACCGCCCGTCCCATGCATTCTTTATCAACGTTCTGGCCAACTCTTATGTTCCTGTCGTCATTGTAGCAACTCTACAGTGTCCGGAACATCAATATCGTCATGCTCATCGTTAATGAATCATCGTCGCTATTCGCAATCGCCACTTGAGTCATTATCGTTACGTCTGTCTCTTGCGGACCAACACTCGTCGAATATTTTGAATCTGTCGTCTGAATTCGTCGTGCGACACGCCCCAGTTTTTTTTCCCCCATTGTCGCCATCGTTCTTCTCCTATTCAGTGATTCAGCGCCGTTCTTCCAAATCAATTCTCTTCGTTTCGACTCTGTGTTTTCATCAACTATTTTTGGCGATCGTTTTTTATTTGCGCTCTCCAGTATGTTCACAATTATAAATAAATGCTTAATAATAATAAATAATAATATAATAATAATAATAATATTATAATAATAATAATAATTAATAATAATAATAATAATATATAATAATAATAATAATATAATAATAATAATAATAATAATAATAATAATAATAATTGTAGAAATTTAATAAATGAAAGCAAAGGTTAATGGTTA